CGGTCTTTGAAATCCTTGAAAGTCTTTAAATTTGAATGCAGGTCCTTCAGGTCTTTGAAAAGTCTTTAAATTGTGTGAAAACGCGAAGAAAGTCTTTAAAAGTCTTTAAATTCTTTAGTGAGTGTTTGATTATACGATTTCCTAGCTAATAAAATAGGTTGATTGAAGAACAAGGTTTTCGCAAATATCGACGAAAAGGCGCATTTTAGGATATGATTTAACGGGATTAATTACCTGGTAAAAATGGTGCTTACACTCGCAATTTTTAGACAGCTGATTGCTCTGAAATATCTTTGAAACGTCTTTGAAAATAGGCAGAAAAAATCTTTGAAAGTCTTTGATTTTTTTTGGTCTTGGAGACTACGAACCCTGTTACAAATCCTTCAAAACGTAGAATATACCTATGAAAAATCCCTAAACTTTGATAGCACAAACCAGCCTTCACGCGTTTATATGATTGGGGATTAGACAGTTTGAGCATTGCTTTCATACACTCATTGATTTTTGTTTTCCTTTATATTTATCACACTACCAGCTTTATATGTAAACAGTTAATCAGCTCTTAGACAAGTGATAAGCGTTTATATGGAATTGAGTTACCCCACTGCTATATCCAAGCTTAATACGTTTTATAATATTATTATTCAATCTTAGTTAAAACAACAACGGTAGCCCTTCAGCAAATAAGTAGCTACGTTGTTTCCATGTGGACGTTGCATGCCTGCACAAATAACAATTTCCAAACAGATTTACGTCTATATATCTAATCTACAACTACTACGCCGGAGGCTTTGAAACGCCGTTACTTTTTTGTACCGTTTGCAAACCTATAGCATCTCAGGTCTCAAAACAGTAAATTCGAATGCTTTTTGAGATTATTAAAAAAAAGGTATCAAGTTTAGATTAGTGTCAGATTAAGATTAGGGTTAGATTAAGATTATATTAGGGTTAGGGGTTAGAGTTGGGTCGAGCTCATGCTGAGATTTTTGCATCCGAATAATGTTGCGCGCACTTGCCCACCCCACAACTCATTAGAAACTTTGGCAACCGACAACGATAAGGGCAGAACAATTGGTTACATTTTTGTATGGGGGCCAAAGCATACATTATACAGCGCTCTAACCAACTGAGCTACAGAGGCCAGCAGTTGTTGAGCTCTAACCACAAGTTCATCAATATATACACAAGTTCATGTATATATACTAGTAAAGGGTATACTGCTATGTATATAGGTTATGGGTAAATAACAAGATTTTTTGTTGACATCTCACTCGATTGAATAATATTTGATGGTATATTGTAGATGGAAATTAAATTGTCGAGTGGAAATTTATATACATTTATTAATTGGACAGGTTCGATTCCTGCAATGGACCTAAAGTCGCATTGTTCGCAGCTGTTCCTGGTTATAGGTCTAATAAATGTATATAAATTTCCACTCAACAATTTCCGTCTACAATATACCCATCAAATATAAATAAAGTAGCAGTTTGAACAACCTCGGCGCACTAGAATGCTTATAAGGGTATACAATTCATAAATATCGAGATTTTTGGAATCGAACCTGCTCTAACCAACTGCTCCTGATTAGGTCTCGAAGTCGGGTGGTTAGAGCGCTGTACCGGAATGAGGGCCTATAGATGCTTATATCACATTTGTGTCGGTTTTCTTTGATCGTCCGAGGTTTATAACTAGCTTATATACCTTGAATAAATGATTAGATTAAACTTGTAGACAAAACGCGAGAATTTTTCATTAAAAAGTTTTGAAAATGACAAAATATGTTAGAAAACCACCACAAATGTGATATAAGTTAGTTATAAACCTCGGAAGTCGGTTTATAACTGATATATTGCTTATAAACCTCCTACTATATATTGATTATAAACCTCCTACTCGGTTTATAACTCTAACTTATTTGGCAAACGCTCCTGGTTAGGTCTAAAATTGATATTGTCTTCAACAATACAACTTATAGTCGCCCTTGTCTTAGAGCGAAATTGCCAGAAGTTGTTTCGGCGCTGTGTGGAACATTAAACTGGGGGTAGAGGTGATGACGAGGTTTGCTTAGCTATATACGAGAAAATGTTTCTTGACAAGTTTTATATGTTCGTGTATACGTCGGGGAATTTTTATCAACATCGTGCAAATTTTTGTTCGCCCTGCTAATTTTTCCCGACCGTACGCCTATGAGACATACATCCTTATTAAGATGGTCAAATAGAGTAATTTTATGATTCCTATAGTTTTAAACACCCACAAACAAACACCCACGTTTGTGGGTTAAAATTGCTTAATTACAGAAAATTATACACACGCCTTGTGTTTATTCTGTACGCGAGGATGTTATTGTTATGATTATAATTGAGCGCGCCGTATTGAAGCAAGGTAAACCCGTATATGACAATATGTCCTTAAATAGTGAATGTATCCATTGGATTGTGTGTTTTTTATGAACTTAGATTCCAATGTGATTTGATTGTGATTAAAAATATGCATGATACATAACTGTAAAACTGAAAAAATTTGTCTCAACAGGGGGGAGGGGGTGATGACCCTCTTCAATGGGGGAGGGGGGGAGGTATAGACTATAGTTTTTCCGAGTCATCATGCAGTTTAGTCTGTATTAGCATATTACACGCGCACATTTGCTAAACTTTGGTTAACATTGCTTACACGCGGATTACTCAAAAGTCTCCACTTTGACAATACAAACTCAGTCAGATCTGTCGACTATACCTGACTATTTTTATATACACTGATTCAATTGACTAATCTTGCATACAAAAACATGAAGTTTTTAAGGGTCCTGTGGACTGTCAAAAAATTGACCCAGCTTGTGACGTCATCTCATTAACATCAATCGAACTGAAATATAGTCGAACCACATCTACTGAAATGACTTATTCTTCGTTTTAAGGCGTTCTTTCAATCTAAACGTACTTAAATTTTGTTGCTAATACGCTGTAAGTTATATATTGTTTTTTTTAGGAAAGGTTAGGTTTTTTTTAGCAAAGGTTAGGTGCAGGTAAATCACTTTAAGTTATTATATTGATACTAGATAGCTCTATCAGCTCTAAGCCGTTCTTCCTAAAAAGAAGGAAATAACTTTATTTATACTCGGTAGCTCTATATCAGTTAATCCAGGATTATTGTAATTGATGAACCCACTTAAATGCTATTTTACTGTTTATAAATGAAGCCATATTTTCAATCCGATTTTGACATGATTTAGTAGTCTATTCGACCACTTAAGTTAAATAAATATAAAACAACAAATCGTCTGCATTCCATAAAATTAAAATAATAATAATCGTCTGCATTTCATTTATTACTTAGTCAGGCAAGGATTGTTCATGGTGTAATCTGGTATGTAAAACATTGCCTAAATAAAATATTTCTTTTGACAAACTTATTTTGGGGATCCCGAAAAATCTCTGCGCATGCGTAAACTGGCTGAATTTGGTCTGATATCACAACCCATCCTCTTCGTTTGTATGATGTGACTGCTCATAAATTTATCATGTAAAAAATTCTTTTAACTGAACTAGTGAAGGATATTTCCCCCTTTCTCTCATATTTTCCTCGTTCTTTCTCTTGAAATATTAATTTGTTTGAGACAATGTCAAAATAAATAACTCGACAACATTTTAACGATCATATTTGTTTTTAATAATATATTTAATTCTTCAATTGGCTATCATGATTCTTCTAGCTTACATCAACACTAGTATATGGTATAGATATATATATACATTCGATATCATTACTAAACGGTACATTATTAACCTGAATTAAATATATATATTCCTCATAGAGGCCATATTCTGTTATTCATATTTGAATATATAACATCATTAAACGGGTGGTCATGTAGCCTGGTTTCATTTTGTCTCGGCTGTCGTGAGCAAGGCCTGGTAGCCGATGTGAAATAGCCTAGACATATATAGTTTCTTTTGTTTTGCCTGCGCATTAGTACTGTAAAAAATCCTGAGTGTTTTGACTCAAAAATTTCATAAAATAGTGCAGCACCCACAATGACGAAAAAACTGAATAAAATTGCTCGAGTTTGTGCACTGATTGAAGTTGCAAATTTACCCAATTTTTGTTTATTAATATTTTACTTTATTAAACCCACCAAGATAACCTATACCATTTGTTAATTTCTGATGACGTCATGTTGCCATAGGAACGTTATTGTGCGGAACAAATGCTATACATCTCTGCCTAATCAATCCATTGACACTTTAAGGAACCAGCCTTATTTTCGATGTCAACTTAGACTGGCATACGGAATAGCTTCGTTTCCGCTGGTATAGAGTTCATGTGGCCTTATCGTCATTAGCACAGCCGAGACGACACAGAGCAGCATTAACCCGATTTAAGTTTTCCATTAGGCGAAGTTGTTAGCGCGGCCTATTGACTGTTAGACTGCTTTCTCGGCCTCAAAAAGTGTGGTCACAAGATGGCGGAAATATGTGAGTGATTCCCCATTAGCAGTTACTCTCATATTCGTCAGCTTCAATTTGCCACGCAAGTCTTCAGTCAAAAAGTATTACAGCAAAGCAGTCCATATATTATTTATATGTCAATGCTTTTTCCCTTTGTCTGTATCGCTTCGCTGACATGATGTGCGTTACCGACAAAGGAAATAGTCCCCTCGCGCGAAAAATTCGCCTCGTGGAAAACGAGCTTTATACCAGTGAGCTGCTTATGTATTACTGCTTTTTACTAACATCTGTCTAATGCATCATTCATTATATCGGGCCATTATTTAACAAAGGCATAATTACTATGTCTATGGTAATCTTTATGTCTTAAGTTAGTCTTTCATTCCCAGCGGTATGCCTAAAACAGCATCGTCTTATGTTTAAGAATGAAAGCAAGATACTGAATCGGGACCTAAAATGTCTTGATCTTAATCTTTCAGAACGCCCTGAGTGTTTGTCCATTAGGTTTACCATCCATCTTTCTGGCAACCTTATATCTTTGCCTCAACTTTATACTTTTATGACCACAAACTGTGTGGCACTTTGTACCTGTAACGGAATAGTTTATTGATTTAGCATTATTTGCGCATGGCATGCCATACAGGGTGTATAAAAAATGGCATAAAATGTGTTAAAACTTTATGCAAAATGTGTTAAAACTTTATGCAAGCATGGGTGGTTTGGGGTCTGCTAGTATCTTTACCACTAAAATGATTTTGAAAAGTAAATTTTTGAGTGCAGAAGAGGGTTGTTTTTAAAAACCACTTTAAAATGGCTTGCGCACAAAAATGGGTGAAAATATTCATAGGGTGAAAATTAAGAAGGTGTTTTATGAATTATCAAAGTACCAGACAATTTGATGGACATTATAAGTCCAACTCGCGACCTCTAAAGCGTGTCATAGTAACCTTTCACGCATAATTTTTAAACTTTTTGTAAAGAGGATTTAAGAAATCAATCATGCATATAAGCAGTGATGTGTGTGATAAATTATGCATGAAAGACTAATATGGCAAAAACGTCCAAGCTTTAGAGGTCGCCCTTTATATACATAAATTGTCTTGTACTTTGATAGTTCATAAAGCACCTTCTAAATTTGCACCCAATGAATTCAAATTGCGTTGTGTTAGGCTTCCATATTTGTGCGCAAGTTATTTTTAAAGTGATAAATATACTAGCAGACCCTAAACTCCCCCCCTGCTTGCATAAAGTTTTCATACATTTGCGGAATTTGCAATTTAGCGAACATTTTCGAACTGTGCAGTTTTTGGCACATATTTTGGGAAACTCGGTGTATTTTGATACATACCCGATGTGTTTTCATGGCTCTCTTCATCTTCCCATTATGTTTGATTCCAATGTACATATCATAGTGATACTTATGAAAATATTTAACCGAGGCATACGAGTTGAATGCGTTGTATTGATGTGTCTCTCGGAATAAGCTTTGTAGAGTACCAGCTCGCTTCTATAAGAAAAATTGTCAGTTTGGGTCAGTTATACATTCATTTATTTATCTGGTCCCTTTCTTACCATGTTAAACAATTATTTAATCCAAGTTCTTATCCTATCCTTCCCCGCTCCAATTTTTTCCTTAATTCGATGTAATAATAAACATGTGTGAGTACAATAACGAACATCTGGGCACAATAATGAACCTCTGAGTACAACGGTGAAAATCTGAGTATAATGATGAACATCGGAGTGTAATAATGAACATCAGAGTACAATAACGAACATCTGAGTACAATAATGAACACTTACTATAAAAATTAACATCTGAATATAACAATGAACATCTCAGTACAATAGTGAACATTTGATACTTACATCCCCAGTAAAAAGGCCATTTTTCTTCATAACAAGATAATAATTGGTAGCCAGGCTTTTTATGCGAATGATGCTAGGGCCAAATGACTGCAGCTCGAACGTAGCTGGAAAAAGAATTTCATTTTTAATTATACATACTACACATACCAAAAATCAATATAACCACAACTTCGACCTTTCGAGAAATTAGTGCGTGGATCGAATATATTAATACCTGTAATGTGATTTACATTTTTATTTACACTTTGTTTTGACTAAATCCATCAGATTGGTTTATTTTTGTCATGTGATAGCTTTTATATTCACTATAGTATAAAAGCACATGTAATTTTCCCGACCAATACTACTATTCGAAACGACGAAGTTATGCTTATATTTGCCACGTAGTTGTATATATATCATACAATAACCTGCCATGGTTTGTGTCTAAACTACCTGAAAAAGATTTCTGATATTCATTATATTTTCTTCCTATATAGTTTGACTTTGAGCAAACGAATAATCTACGATTGAATGCAAATTGATCAAGATTCCTGTCGTTATTACGGTATGCATTTGTGTTTATGTAATGATTACGTAGTATCGTATGACAGTGTTTTTATTTGATCTTTCTTAACATCCTCAAGCATTTTTGCTGTTTGAAAACATGGCAAAATCACAATGCGGAACCGCTCTAATTCCAGGACGTCTCTAATATTGATACATCCATAATGCGGATAATTTCATAATATGAACATCTCTCTAATACGAACACCTCTCTAATATGAAGATCTCTCTAATATGAACACCTCTCTAATATGAACACCTCTCTACTATGAACACCTCTCTAATATGAACACCTCTCTGATACGAACACCTCTCTAATGTGAACAATTCTCTGACGTGGACACCTCCGTAATATGAACACCTCTAATATGAACATCTCTCTAATATGAACACCTCTCTAATATGAACATCTCTCTAATATGAACATCTCTCTAATACGAACACCTCTCTAATATGAACATCTCTCTAATATGAACACCTCTCTAATACGAACACCTCTCTAATATGAACACCTCTCTAATACTCTCTAATATGAACAATTCTCTGACATGGACACCTCCGTAATATGAACACCTCTAATATGGCCACCTCTCTAATATGGCCACCTCTCTAATATGAACACCTCTCTAATATGAACACCTCTCTAATATGAACATCTCTCTAATACGAACACCTCTCTAATATGGACACCTCTCTAATATGGACACCTCTCTAATATGGACGCCTCTCTAATATGGACATCTCTGTAATACGGACATCCCTTTAATATGACAGTGCGAAATGTCCGTATTAGAAAGACTCCGTATTAAAGAGTTGCTTGTGTTAGAGAGAGAGAACCAGAGAGATGTCCGTATACGTATTAAAGAGATCCGAGCATAGTTTGTGATATCAAAACAAAATATGTTATCTTCTTGTAAATGGGAATTGGTTTTGAACTCGTATCATACACTTACTGTATTTACTCTTCTGATTCAAACTCCCGGAAACGACGCCATTACGCCGTATTTGTAAATGATATCCAGTCTTGCAATATAGTTTGCATTTTATAACATTCGTTGGTGCATCGCTCAGCCAGCCATTTAAGGGCCACCTCAGTTGATTCACCTGTTTGCGCCAATCTCGATTGGTTATTTTCCCCGTAATGCCATTGATGATAAGATCTTTTCTGTTGGAAGGATTTTCTATGGTAGAGTTCTTGAATTTTGTCCATATTGTATTGACCAATCCGTTTGTAGATGACAGCGTTGTTTGCGTGAGGAGAAGTAGGAAAAAAGCCTGTAAGGTCATTATAAAAAAATGGTTTTTAATTTGTTTAGGGTACATGCAGAGTTTTTTCGCCATGCAGAGTTTCGAGAAATTTCGAAAGAGCGAAGATAAAAATATGAACAATATTTTTTCTGAAGAAGTTGAACTTAACTAAAAACAAGTTAGGTCAATTTATAGATGTGATATCGAGAAGCATTTGTTTTGTCTTAAACGCCTTACTGATAAAGAAAAAGTTCGAGTTTTCAGTAATATTTGAAGTGTTATGTGTGAATGCAATAGTTGTCTTATTATATGGACAATGGTGTTTTACTGGAAACTAAAACACTCGTAGAACTCATATGCCACTACATCCGGGGCTAGGTGCGCGTATTTTCCGTATTTCACGCTTGCGAGTGACATACGAAGTTCGAAAATTTCCCGCCATTTTCATTGTTGTTGTTTTGAAAATACAAATGGTCTTCGGTTCGTATACAAAACGAAATTACCGTTGGAAATAAAACGAAAACATTTAAAAGACATCTTGAGATAAGTAAAATTTATTCTAGTTTTATGTTTGCACTATAATTTAAAAAAATATCGCTTTTATATATTGGTCTTTCGCAGCTTATTTACATGTCGTCTTTGCGTGTATTTTTCTCACTCTGAATAAGTCCATATAACAAACAGAACATTAAACGCGGTTGCGAGAAGATATGGATTTATGTTCTTGTGTCAAAAATAACATCTCATTCGTGAGATATTCGCCCGTATTCTAAAAGCTCAGTCACACTCAATGAGTGGAGGTTCAATCTGAGTTTCTCTGGAGTGTTATTGCTGTTTTTGAATAGCTGCAGGGCTAGTGTCATACGTTACTATGTGATTACTCACCCTCCAGCTATTCAATTGACACTCAAGAGAAGCTCAGATTAAACCTCCACTCATTGAGTATGAGTGTGAGTGAGCTTTTACAATACAGGCGATTGTTTTTGCCACTCGAACATAAAATCCATATCGTCTAATATCTTCTATATATAATTACTCTCGTCGCATATGGAAGGTATATGGCCGCTAGCCAACTTGGTGCTACGTACTATAGCGCCTAAAGCCCACGCGTTTAAATGAAAAGTTCAATTTTCTCATATGTGTTTTTTTAGCTCCTAGCAGAAATGATACTCATTCTTCATTTGAGATAGAGCGCAACAGCTGAAATTCATGTGAGTTTTCATCTCAATATATTTAGTTCCCCTCCAAATAATCTACCACGTGCCCAAGTTCCATCCTTGCATGACCTACGGCGTTTAAGCACATGCTTGCGTGTAACCAACACATAAAGAAATCGTTAAAATACCATTTAGATATTGCTTATAAGAACTCGCTCGCCTTGTAAGTGCAAGCTTTCAAAGTTCGTTTACAGCCTAAAACGTCTTTGTCCTCTTTTGGGTTTAATTTTGTTGAAATATGAGCTGGGGATCTGTAGAGCTTACTTGAAATGTATTTTTACAGTTCCATGCATGTATATATTTCTAAATTCAACATACAAATATATATAGTCAAATAGCACATCGCCCACGTATTTCCTGTTTGTTGAGTTTCGGCATTCGAAACTAATATATGATGCCCAAGTATAGGCACTTGAAATCTTCTACAGCATGCATGCACGAATATACCTTTATAGGGTTTTTTAATTTGAAGATTTTTCTAGTTAGAATTAAGTTATAATCACAAGTTGAATACCCAGCCTTGCTTTGACCTTAATAGTGTTTGAGTTAATTTTTGATCCATAAAAATTATAAAGTCGAAGGTTAATCATTAAAATTCCTACTGTGATCACAGAAACTTTGATATTGTAAACCGTATGCAGCCTTCACACAAAATTGAGGCAGACAACACAATTAAGAAAGCGCAAAATTGTTTCGGTAAAGTATAAGGGCCATTTATCGAGCGAAGCCTTGTAACACTAGTTTTAAAACTTTGACTCTTCGCTTATTTTTTCTCTTCAAGATGCTCGTTGAGAACTCTTAGCGCCGTCTTTGTAGCTCGTTTAGTGTTTTCCGCTTCGTTTTCGTCTAATAGCTTTTGAAAATCGCTTTCAGTAACCGAGGCAAATTTTGCCATGGCTTTATTTGTACTTCATTTAATTACAAGCTGGCCGTACATGCAAAACTATTATCTGCAGTGTTACGACATATTGACGCAATATTATACATTTAATGTCCTCTACTCCAGAGAAAAACATGTACAAAACTATTATCTGCATTGTTACGACATATTGACGCAATATTATATATTTAATGTCTCTACTCCAGAGAGAAACAATTAGTTTTGATTTCCCAAGAGTTTCAAATAATTATCTATTTCCCGAGGAAACAGACATTACGTGTTTTGTTGTATAGCGACGGGGAAAAATAAACAACATTCTCAAAACATTTTTATTTCATGAGTAAAACTCTTTATTGTAAATGATTTTGACAGTTGAAGAACCTGCTAAAAAGCATTTTACACGCGTTGCCTGTTGTGTATTTTTGTCTCTGTTAGATGCTGTATTCTATTCGTATAAAATGGAAAAAGTTCTTTCCAAACTTTTCGCTGCATTTTGAGCATTTATATGTACATATATATATCCGGTCGGAGCGGGCTAGCAATTGTTCATCTGTTGCCCGGTGGGATAAATTGCATCAGTTATGTAAATCCGTATGATCACAAATCGACAATCAACTAGAATTATTCGCAGGCCAGAAGTCGATCGAAACGGAGCTTGTATATGAGTAATGCGTGATAATATTGATTATATAAGATACGTGAATCGCGTACGGAATTGAATTTTTCGTTCATGTAGTTCCTCTGCATGATCTAAAGGCTCATTTCCACTGTTGCGTTTTTCATACGTACGTACACGCACGTAAAACTTTAAATCCGTTTAAATGTTACTTATGAAATAACCAAATAAATAAAGCAACAGAATTTAGTGTTCCGCAAGTTTTAGTATGCATTTGTTAACTTATTTGTAAAATATTTAAAAAAAATAGAAGGACTCAAAATTTTACGTGCGTGTACGTGCGTACGAAAAACGCAACAGTGGAAATCAGCCTTAACTATGCTTTTTTCAGCAGTGAGTTCTGTACAACATTACATCGTTTTACGATAGCCTACATTAAAGAACATGTACTACCTCTGTATGATCTAACCATGCTTAACTCAGCAATGATTTCTGTACAATGATTATATATAGATCACTTAAGGTAGCCCACATTTAAGAACATTACCTCTAATCTATAGCAAAATTCCTACTGTGATCACAGAAACTTTGATATAGTGTAAAGTCACAAGACACAAAAATTACGACTCGAGTCCAATATTAGTCACATGACTCGAGTCACAATAAAAAGCAATCTCAATTACTCCTTAAATAAGCATTAATGTACACAGAGCTTTGCATATATTATTTTTAAAAAATTGTTCATGAACTTTATATTTAAATTTTGCAAAGTAGTCGATGTTAAGTGATATAGATACATATATGACCTCATGCGGCTGCGTTTGTAGTATATGAAGTTAGGTTTCACTCGAAACCGTCCAAACACATTCTGTAGTTTTAGATATTAAAATTGCATCTTTCAAAAATGAGAGCCAGCACTCAAGTTAAGAATGTGTATCAGATAATCCAAATTTAATGTAATACGTGCGGCTGATTCGCCATATAATTGCATGGCAAGCCCTATATATACAGTCAAGTAGAAACGATGCAATTTTTTACACATAATATAGCCTATACATGCATACAGTGCGTGTTTATATATAAGGTTTCAATATATGAAACTATTTATGCACAAATACTCTATCGGAATAAGCTGGCAAGGAAAACGCCGTTACTTTTAATCGTATTCATTCATAATTTGAGGCAAACGTTGATGCAGTTAAATTTCGGGTTTAATTCAAATATCTAACTTGTTAAATCTTGCGTGTACTTAAATATTGAGTCGCCACAAATCTTTATTTGATTTTTCTTTAAGATACAAATATAGTATTCGTACAATGAGACATGTATGGCAATATATATAATGTTATATTTTCTGCTTATTTCGAAATTCGACAATCTAATATCATGTTGAAGTATAAATAAAGAAATAGAAATATCATGTTGAAGTTTTTACGTAACTAAAATTAAGTTCAAATTTTTCGAAATCTTCGAAATTTGTATCTGGTATGTATAGGCTATTATAGCTATCTTTCTATAGCTATAAATCGCATTCAAATACATGCATATACAGTGAATAATATTATATTCATGCATATATTGCTTTACATACAGATGATAATTTTCTGCACTGTATTTCTATCAGATATAAAAATATAATTCAAAAATTTGCTTGAAAGAAGAATCTAACTATATATTTATACCTTAATAATATGGAACAAAATTGGACCTTTGGAGCGAAGACACTTTGAGGTTACGAAGAATTTTCTAGTATATCGTTCGAGTTGTTAAATTCTGCATCCTATCTTGCGAATTATATTTTTCATCGCCTACTACATAACACTCGTGGTATACGAGCTCTGATTCGTTAACACTGCATCTATAGAACTGCTTCGTTCTGTAAAAAAATCCTTTTTCTTTGTCATCGCGGTTAGTAAAATTCATGAGGAATCGTCTTGGATAAGCTATTGCAGTATATTTGTACGTCGCTATAATAACATGCATATTCGAGGTCGCGCTCGGTCGATCTGATATACTGTACATATATAATTATACTAACCTGAGTATAAGTCATCTTGAATTGCTCAGTATATATATAGGTTGTATATATAAGTCTCCCGTGCAATCTTTGTAACAGCAAATATATATAGTGATGTAAGCTACACCTTAGGCCACCTCTGAGCCAGGATTATTAAACCACTCCTTTGCAATTAGTAGTTCCGTTCTCGTTTGAAAGTAATTAACATGCACTCGGCCCGCAATCAAGAGCCTATATAATTATTCTGATATAGTTTGCCCTGCCAGTTCTCGTATATATACTGCATTTGAAAATTTCTCACCTGTGATATTTTCATAATACCATCTCAAAATATTTTTTGTTTTAACAAAGGAAATTGGTGAATTTCATGTGTTTAAATTAAATAAATAAACTTCTATACTCAGATTTAACAGTTAACAGTTAACAGTTAACAAGACGCCTGCTCAGGCGTTCACACTGGCCTGAAAATAACGACATACGTGCTATGGTGCAAAAGGCAGGAATACAAATCTTTAACCGCAAGCAAATTTTATGGACTTCTTAAAAAAATAAAAGACCTTTTCGGGAGACGTAATGGTGCAAATCTATAACTAGGAGCTGCTCTCGCAAGGAAAGTGCTGCCTTTTTGGCATATGAACTGAATGCAAAAATTTATACTTCTAGACAATTCTCGGTTATATCCCCAATGTTTCCTGCACAAATTTGTTTCTCGTTCATAAACTCATTCTTAAATTGTGTGCACGGAATACGAGTAAATAGCCAACATGAAAATGAAGACATTGGGTCAAAAGTGGATATTAAGGTCTAATAACCTATTAGCTGCCAATGCACACTACTTTAGTATTAACTCTGGCTAACGCCAGACTAATTTACACTGTGTAACGCCAGACGATTTTACTTGTTAGTGGCAGAGTACTGGGTTAACAAACACATCTGCATGCCAATGTCTCTTATTAACCCATTAACAGGCAATGCACCCTGCTTTAGTATTCTTTAGTAACTCTTCAGAATTTGCTGAGAGTCAATGTGAGTAAAATACATCTTGTATTCAAGCTCTTTCATGTACAAAGTTTCGTTTGAATACCGCACAGAGTAGGAATATTTATTTTGAATTTTTCAAAATATCTGGTTTTTACTCGCACGCACGCGCCACGCATGGGCCGCGCTAAAAATATAAATATTCTGTAAATACCGAAATAAAAGATGAAAATCTCAAGACACAAGCTTGAAAATAACACTATAAATAGTGTTTTCGATTCTGGTTCCAATAATATTATTACGAAAGAGATATGTCCAAAGGGGCCGAAGTTATGTTCGGCAAAATGTATGGCTAGTTTACATTGTTTGTTATATTATGAAATATGATACCATACTTGTATTAAAATTCGCGTCGAACTAATGTTATTATTGTATTAGGCAAATGAGTAGACTTGCCACAAGTCGACCTCGAACGAAATGCGTTTCTTCGAAGTCGACTTGTGGCAAGTCTAGCAAATGAGAACCATACAATAATGGTTCTAGTTCTTGTTGGTATTTTGAACGCACTCTTTATCTCATTACAACCTATTTATCTATTTTTTATTAACTTCTAATGTTCTGAACCCGGAATTGCCGCACACATACAAGACTGTTTGTGTCAAATGTCACAAAGCCCGTCCTTTGGATTCACTCAGTGACACTTTGTGCTGCTAGTTCCCTTTCTTTATATTATGTGATGACTTTTGTTGTTTTTTGTTGTGATGCACTATTTAGTGTTAACTCTTTGTATACAATATTTCTATGTATTTTACAACTCACGCGGGGAACCCGTTATTGGAGCTTCGGCTCTGTGGGTGTTCTAGCTAGCTGTATTGTATTCTATAACTCGGCTCTTTGCAGCTTATCGAAGGACAGGTATAGATCTTAAGTCACTAACAAAGTTTGCGCATAAACCACTCAGATGGAACATAAATTAAATATATTAATGATGTTCATGCACTCCTTGATCGGTCTTTACGTTTTCATAAATGTATTATAGACTATACTGCTGCGTCCTATGATATATTAAACAACACGCAATATTTGAGAAAACATACATATCATTCATACAAGTTTAATTATAGTTTATACCCTCTCAAGTCAAAATATACCCTCAGTCAAGTCAAAATATACCCTCGCGTTATAAAGCCGTAATACTCCAAATTTTTTCCCCTTGTATGCTTCTGTTCCTGTCAGAAACGTAGCCAAGGCAAAAAACGCGAACAACAACCATACTGTAATACAAATCTATACAAAAGTGGGGGCCCAGAATCGGGTGACTGCCGGTGACTCACTTTTGCTTACTATAGATGCGTTATCCAGTCTTATTTCAGATCAGTGGACTAATAAAAAAAAGGCGCGAAACAAGCATAGAAAAAAAGATGCGAAAAAATGGCGCAAGACGCAAAAAAAAGGCGCGAAAAGAAGGCGCGAAAAAAAGGCGCGACAAAAAGACGCGAAGATTAGACTCTCGTATTCAGAGCTGAAAATGGCACACATATATTGCATGGGCATACTGTAGACTGTTTTGACCTGTGAAATTGATTTTGAATTATATATAGCAAATATGGTTTCATTTTAATCATTTGAGGACGTTCTATAGCTTCCACTGGTTAAGAAAAGATGGCACATCTTCATAACCTGCCAGCAAAATATCGCACATATTTCTAGCACAACAGTTTTCACTATAAAGTAGGACCTCATACGCGCATATTCTGCTACAGATTCCACTGGTTAAGAAAAGATGGCACATCTTCATAACCTGCCAGAAAAATATGGCACATATTTCTGGCACAAGAGCTTCATACTGAGAGACTATATGCACATAAAAAACACGAGTCATAAATATACGGTGGCTGTATGTACTATTTAAAAAACGAGCAGGAGTGTTTTATTAGGTTTAAAGCCACGAGCGCGCAGCGCGAGTGGCTTTAGACCTAATAAAACACGACCCGCGAGTTTTTTAAATGACGGCAAAAACGTATGCATAATAAGTCAAATCTTTATATAAAAATCTTTATATAAAAATCTTTATATAAAAATCTTTATATAAAAATCTTTATATAGTTTGCATAACAATGGTCTTTTGTTAAAGTGTTCTTTAGCTGGTATAAAGACGTATGCACGTGACTAATTTCTTACTCAAGATTGGATAATTGCTTCATGAATTGTTAATGAGTTTTTGAAGGTAATATCAATAACAATATGTCAAGAGATCGTATACTATACCTATATATACATATTGTTTTCATGCCAAGGTCTACAATACATGCATGTAATATAAAAACCAATAAATAAACATTTTAATGTTCAAATAAATAATATTAAAATAATATTATTATTTTTTTAATATTATTATTTTAACAATATTAAAATGTTTATTTTCGGAGTTACCGTTGTTTTATATTTTATAAAAACCTATTGTTTGCTGAATGTTGAATATAGCTACTTATAATTATATATGTATAGCTATACATCTATACACGTTGACTGCCTGAGTACGGCATATTGAGTACCATATTGGTGTCCTAGTAATAATTCTCTCGCTTATTTTCACTACATGCCTCCATACAACAAATACAAGCTTTTTACTGTAGTACAGCGCGATGATATATACCTTATAAGGATCGGATCATATTTTTTACACTACAGGATATATTTTTCCGTTACAATTTTAATACACGCATCTCCAATTTTATGTTTCATAAATCTACACCTGTAGTCATGCAGTACTTATTTTCTTAGGTTCACATTTATGCAAGTAACAAGTGCATGGTTGTTTTTTATTTGTTATCCTAAGTTTCATCAAATGCAACATAATTTTTAATAGTAATACATTGTGCCAACAACACGAGGCCATCACATTATCATATTTCACACTACAGTCTACACTTTTGTGACATAAAATGAGATGGTTATATGTGTAAAATTCAGTATCCCTCTGTGCGGCGTTTCGTCCTTCATGGACTCGTCAGCAGGGATTTGCGGTTGGCATATGTGTGAGAAGGACACAGAATACAGTAACCGATTTGGATTACCGAGAGTGACCATGGCAACCTCGGGTTGTGACCATGGTTGTAATTTCTCAGGAAAGTGGTTCATTCCAATTTCCGGTTTCAATCGTTTCGATCAGTTCGTACAATTCCTTGTCTTCTGCAATAGCTTTCTTGATTTTCGACCAGATTACGGCGTGATCTGCTTGGATCACTGCGTTCACATGATTCTCAATGTGGTCTTTGCCAGTTTCTGGAAGTGGGTGTCGTGATAAATAGTGGGCCATGTTGCTTTTTCCTGGTCTGTGGATAGCTTCAAAATCCAGGTTCTGCATCTTGATTATAATTCTTTCAATTCTTGGTGGAATTTTCGCTTTGGGGTTGTTAAGAAGAGGAAGTAAAAGTTTGTGGAAGTAAAAGTTTGTGGTCAGTCGCTAGCTTGAATTTTGGTGCTCCGAGTAAGAACATCTGCAATCGACTTGTGGAAAATTCAGCTGCTAATGCCTCTCTTTCGATTTGAGTATAGCGTTTCTCTGTGTCGGTCAGTGTTTAGCTGACGTAATGGACCGGCTGAAATCCATCTGCTGTCTTTTGGAGTAAGGCTCCACCGAGGCCCTCTGGACTACCGTCGACAATAACTAAGGTTTCTCGTCCTGGTTGAAATGGAATTAAAACTGGTACTGTTCTGTTGTTAGCGCTGTTTTCAGGTCGTCAAATGCTCGTTGTGTCTCTGGATCCCACTCGAACTTGGTGTTGGCTTTGGCCAGTCTTCTTAGAGGCTCGCATATACCTGAGAATCGATGGATGTACCGAAAAAGGTATGCAACCAGTCGTCCAAGCACCATCTTCAGGTTCTTGTCGTGGTCAGCAAGATCTACACCCCCAATCATAATATCACGATTGTTCCGTGTCCTGGGAATTCCCAATACGATCTTTGCCATCTCACTATCGAATAGGTCTTGACTGTCGACTCCACCAAACTCAAGACGTTCGTATCGGTAATTTCCCCATGGCGTTGAAAATGTCTTGGCTTATCTGGACTAGGGATCAATGACAAACTGTTGGTACCTATGGTTGAGGTCCAATTTGCTGAAAATGCTGCAATAAACTCTGCTGTAGTGGGTGCTTGAACTTGGCGAGTTCGTAACATGGATTTATACAGTGTTCGTAAATCTGAGGCGTATGTCTCTGGGATTCTTTAGTTTAGGTTGTACGACCATAGGAGAACACCATGTTATAGGTTCACGGGAACTTTCTCCATGATGTCGTGTTCCACAAATTCTTGGAGACGTTTCTGGAGAGGTTCCATTCTGGTGAGGCTCTATTCTCATTCAGAGGTTTTATTCGTCTTGGTTTCTGTGCAACTGCTTCACCATCTTCATCCATTGGTAGATGTAGCTGAATCTCATCTTCATTGCGGGTCGCTCTGCCAATTCCATGAAATAGATCTTGATATGGTGCTCGTCAACACTGGACTGTGTTTCTTGTAGTTTTCGAATATTCCAAGTACTACTACTCGGTTTGTTCGGTTCTTTAAGTCGTCCTGTTTCGTCAATCTTCACCATGCCCAATTCGAAGAAATATTTTTCTTTACTTATTTATTATTAGCATGACAAAATTACTGGATGCTGATTGATTTTCCCAAAACAAACAAAATGGCGGAAAGGTATTTTGAACACAAATGTGAAATGAAATTGCCTTTGAGGAACTAGATGAAAATACGAACAAAAGCACCAAATTTTGCTTTAACAAAAGAACTAAATGAAAATACGAACAAAAGTACCAAATTTTGGTTGAAAGTCTGGCAGGACTGGGATTTGGCGAGAGAATATGATGTTGACGGAGAAGTATCCAATTTTGTCATATGCTAATAATAAACATGATCTGGCTCGTCCAATTTTGACAAAATTTCCAAACATCACTCGTACTATTAATCCCTAATTGTATGAGCAACATCGCATGATTTAGTACCTATACTAAGTAATAAGTTTTAGTATCTTTGCACAAGTAAATAAAACAAATCCTGGAAGTTGATTGGTCAAATTTGACGTATAAAAATCGAAATTTTCAAAATGGCGACTAGCTGTTTTGTGGAAGTTACTGATAAAGAAATAAGCGAAATTAAAATAAATTCAGTTCCAAAAAAACAACACAAAAGACTTGTGTAAAAATACTAAAACAATTATTCGCCTCAGGCTCGGTGATTATCGGGGAATATTCACCTCGACGTCGTCTCGGGGAATGTTCCCCGATAATCACCTCGCCTTCGGCGGATAATTGTTAAATATTCAAAAACCTCGCAGCTTTACAGCTGAATTATGTAGTTGTTTACAAAATAATATCAAATTATGCGTATATTACGTCGTGCTATTACATCATCAATCAATTTTATTTAAAATGAAAAAAGCTCGCTAGCCTCGCACAACTGAAAGCTGATTTACAGGAGGGGCGTGATATATAAAATAGTAAAATATATAGAATATAATATATGAACCCCCAACTTCCCCTCCTCCCCTATGCTCAATAGGGAATTCCAGCTTTTAGTTTATGCATGCAGGGGACGATGGGAAGTAAGGTATCACATTGCTGATTATGCTGAAAAAATAAAAATGGTGGCCGTGTAAACACGGAGTGATAGCTTATACTTGTAATTATTGAAATATTTCGGTTGTTTTGGTAGTTTTTACTGAAATTTTTCAGCATCCCCTGCAGGCATAAACTAAAAGCTGGAATTGCCTATTGAAATGCTTGCAATATATTGCATGCTTGATTTGGCAAACTGAAAACAATACACATGTAACTATGAAGCGAGCATTTTTTGCATAAACAAACACATTTTTGCCAATTTTTTATTCATAATACTTTTGTCAATTTTTGCCAAATAGTTGCCTGCGGAGGAGGCTAGAGTGAGACCTATTATGTCAGATCGAGTTACGTAATCTATATTCTATTTATGGGTAGCACCGAAGAGTTTTGGGTTGGATAAACAAAATTTGAGTGAGTAAAAGCGGTTGGGTAAAACTCCAGGGTTGGGGTAACAGAAATTTATTGTCATTTCCAAAGCATAACTCACTCGAATATTGAAGAATAAAAAGCAATGTTAGTGACATTAGTCAATACAATATGTAAATCAATCGGAGCCACTATATCTTGATCATTTTCCGATTTGTCAGGAGGCAAATGGTGTCTCCACAAACGTACATCTGCAGACAACATGAAACTTTACACTGTAGAAAATTGCACAAGCAGTTATTTAACTCGTGTCGCAGAAGTGGTAAAGGACATGTGTGACAAGTGAATGTTATTCTTTTGTAAAGTTTTTTGCAATGGGTGGGTATTTATTTTTTAATTCATTTTGATGTTGTGTATAGAGAAATTTTTGAATTTAATGGTTGGATCAGGAATATTTTTACCAAGAAAAACATTTCTCTTCGGTGCCACCCCCCGCCATAAATAATGACCAGTCCCTTAGCTGCAATTTGATCACCGGATAATTATAATTATAATATAGCATTTGTAAATTCTGAACGCTGATTGGCTAAGAGCCGTGTTGATATAACTCAATGTCAACACGGAAACGTCGGAAAATTTCTTTCTTTATGTTTCTTTGTGCTATATTATAAAACAAATATAAAACATTTTTTCCGTATTGATATATAGTTATATCAACACTCGTGGAAATTGCGAAAACTCGAAATTGTGTGAAAACACTCCGCCCTTCGGGCGTCGTGTTTCCACACAATTTCTCGTTTTCCCAATTTCCACTCGTGTTGATATAACTGTATATCAACACGGAAAATGTTTTACATTTGTTAAATATTAAACACTTAATGTGTGCTCCCGACGGAAATATTTAGTTTGACTTCGTCTCGGATATGACTTTTATCTTCGAGTGGTGAAAACAATATTTTACGAACGAGCGCAGCGAGTGAGTAAAATATTGTTTTTAACATGCACGAGAAGATAAAAGTCATATCTTCAAGCCACCGTGTAATGTTCTGTTTATTATATAGTCCCAAGCAAAAAATTGTGAAATTTCACGCTCAAAAGTAAATTGGAAAAAGTCACGTGATCGATATCTTCACTAGTGAAGATATGGAAAATATCTCACTGTGTATTTTTAAGTATCTCACTCTCTACTATATAACAAGACGGAGCGTTAACTCGCTGGGGCAGTGGGGCTATACAAATACGCACATTACTGTACATTTTATACCTAACCAGGAGCGTTGCAAACAATGCAACTACAGGCTCTCCCGCAGGAATCGAACAGGCCCTGCGATTCCGGTGCAGCGGTCTAACCAACTGAGCTACAGTGTCCAGTTGTCGAGCTCTAACCAACTGAGCTACAGAGGCCAGTTGTCGAGCTCTAACCAACTGAGCTACAGAGGCCAGTTGTCGAGCTCTAACCGCGAGCTTATGTACTATTTACTGCATGCATGTTTACTATTAAAATTACATCCTGGCAGTGCGGTGTAATATCAGTAATTAATATATTAAGCACATTCCATATTTAACCACAAACATTCCAAGCTTAAGGACAGGGAAATTAACTTCTTAAGAGCAGAGGGAATCTCCCAAGGTGAAACTTCCTCATTCTTTTCTGGTTACTTTGGGTATCATAGCTTGAACACTTAAGATGTTCGCGAACACCATGTTACAGCTCGACAACTGGAGCTCAATTGGTTAGAGCCATAGATATCTTATATACACTAGATAGTGCATCTAATTATTCTGTAATTCAAAAATGACGCACGCACGCACGTTCACCACCGGGTATAAGCACATTAAGCTCATTTGTTAGATTATATAGCCTGATAGTTGTTAAACTGGCTTTAGTATACTTAATAAAGCTTATGTTCTCTCAGTCGAGTATCGACCTTTCTTAGAGGTTGATCAAGGATACGAGAAATTCAGGAAATAATTATGATGATAAGGCGTGCATAAGCTTTCTAGTTTTTTCCTGGAATTCACAGGAATGTATGGGACGTGCTTTTTAATAAGAAAAGCTGATTATATATCTGTAGTAATAATGTAATAGTAATAATATTTAATCCACATAAATACCAAATTTGGTATATAGGATATGCACATAAATTCATCATTGACATAAAACTAACGCTACAAGTCTACATTACATTATACATAATCCCGTATGCCGAAACTCGAATTAAGTAAGCTACTGTAATTAAGTTACGTAATGTATGTGTAACCTTACGTAGCACGCGCTCAAAACTATATTATGACTGCATTCAAAATTTTTATTTTTAGACACGTTTCTCAATCGGCAAACAACCTTAAAAAGTATGTTTAGTTCTTTATCTGTAAAATAATGCTAAAATGAAGAGATTTTAGATGACACGCCAAAGAGAAAATGACTTTTGAAGTTCAGTATGTTTTGCTTATATTGTTGTATAAATATGGCGTCACTTTCATTGATAATTGTATTTATAATTGACTGTTATTTTATGTTTGTCAACCGGAAAATGCATTTAAAATGGTAGCTAACTGTATAAACTAGAGAATAAAACTAAAACAAAACAATTTTGAGATGCCAAAAAGATTTTAGGTTTTTAACACTTTTTATCGCAAATAGGCGACATAGAAAAACAATTGCCTCTTATAATCACTTAACTTTTCAAAAATTGTAAGAAGCTCAAAACTGTATTTAGCTACCAAAGTCACATAAAAAGATCTTGGTAGTTAAATGAATTATTTATTTCAAGATTATCAATAAAATTAATTCCATGATCGGCGAAATTAATTCTAATCTTTAATGTGCTCCCAGTCGAGTATACCGTGACCTTATAGGGTTGGTCAAGGATAGAAATTCTCAGCTATGCACTTAATTATCTGTGTGGGCTGAGATTTCCAGGAACGCTGTTAAGATATGTAGATAAGCTTTTTAAGTTTTTCCTGAAAACAGGAATGTACGGGATAATGCATGGGAGGTATTTTAGCTAATTATACTGTAACATGCAGGCACACCCTGTTATCAAAAGAGCTTAAGATGTCGTAAATCTAGTACGCAGGGTCAGCACACGGGTAAAAAAATATCGATTATTTTTGTCAACAAAGAAAGATACAGGTGAAAAACAAACTAAACTGGTGACAAATCCAAAAGAAAAGCTTAAGTAACTGTCTTTTTGTCACGCCCACATACTAGATGTTCGCTATTAGTGAGTTTACAGCACGGCCGGCTCGACGACGCGCTTTCAAAACAAAGAAATTTGGTGTTTTCACAAACAATAGCATAGATATCTTATATACACTAGATAGTGCATCTAATTATTCTGCAATACAAAAATTGAAGCCGTGATTGCAGACTCAGGATATTCCCATGAAATGAGAAGACTTGTATATTTTCTATTTCTTAAACAGGAAACTCAAACATTAAGTTAAACCTATTCCAATTACATTTTCAAACTATTCAAATGATGAAAGTTATTGTTGTTTTAAAAGCGTTTATTAGCGAGTGTGGAACTCCAACATGGCCGCCATCTATTCAAATGGGGTCATCGCTGGAATATTCTTGGCTTCAATTTTACTAAAAGAGATGCGCTATCTAGTGTATATAAGATATCTATGCATGGTTGATAGCCATCGTCCTGACGTCGCCGTCTTACATGCGTAACGTACTCCCTGATGGAGAGCATTGCATGTATATAGGGTATATGGAGCTGACGCAAAACCACGCGGAATATGCAAATTTCGCTACCTTAAATTTGACTTCGAAATTTGTCATTTTCCCACTAATATCTCTCAAGTCCTCCCCCAAGACTCAAAAAACCGGCTGCAAAAAACCGGCAAAAAACCAGCTGCTACGCAGGCTAGCTAATATCATTTTAGTCGATTTATAAACAACAGTACGCACAGTGTGCGTATTAAAGATTGATCGGCACGAATATACGAGCCCGCGTGGATTAAACACAAAATGTCAAAATCTAAATAAACACATTGAAAATTTATATTTTCTGAGCTCTTATTTATGCTTTCATAACGAAGAAAAAAGAAGTTTTTACAGGTGTGAATTGAAAATTAATGTCAGAAATTGCTCTCAATGTCTTTGCTTGCTTGAATATACATATAATACAATGTTTCTTATATATCATTGATTGCTCGAGTAAAATTGACTATAAAATGATATTAATAGGAAATTACACTTGTTCTCGAAGTATTAATGAAAAATCACACTTGCATGTGTTTGGCGAAATATTTATAATAGCCTGTTCGCAGGCTATATTTATAATACCGCCCGTGCTGCATGGGCACTCGCGGTATTATAAATATTTCGCCAAACACGTGTGCGATTTTTCATTAATCTTCTCGAATGTAATGTACCTGCTCATTTCTTGTAAAAAACGAGTTTACATGAAACATCATCTCTCAATTCTATTTTATCAACAAATTGCAAATTTCCTCCATTTAATGAAAAGAATGCAAAGATTTAACAGACCCTTATTCCTCAACAAATGGTTCTTTGCTTTACGACCCTTAACAGGTGGTTCTTTGCATAAAAACGCGTTGTATAACAATTCTGCAGGGGAAGAAAAATGCTGTCCTTTGTCGTACTGCTTTGTTTGCGAATCTCGCAGCTCACCATGCATGATCTACAGTCCTTTATTGTTCTCAACTATTTTTAGTTAATTACAAAGAGCCTATTTCCATAAAACTTAGCGGATCAAGTGATCGGACTGCTTTTCATTGTTTTGAAAATCCCACTGTTCACCATGCCTTTTGGTAACTCATTGTTTTGCCAAGGGCTTAATGTTATTACGTATTTGAACTTCATATGAAAAAGATATCTCAATTATCAAACGGTGTGGTCCAGTGTAGGTAGTATTCTAGAATAAGCTGCCGTGGTTTGTGTCTGAACTATACTTGAGAAAGATATCTCAAACATGGTGGTCCAGTGTAGGTAGTATTCTAGAGTAAGCAAACACAGACATAAATTTTGGAAAAGAATCTATAAATCTGTCGCTGCCTTATAATAGTATTTTTGTTTCAGATGGTGTCAAATTCCTCTTGCCCATCTACAAATAAAATTTGCAGTTCTTCGCATGTTCAAAACACAAAATATTATTCACTGTTTTTAAAATAATAGTTAAAAACATTGTAAAATTTACCTTGTATTTTCGATTTACGCCAACAAAACCTTATTGAGAAACGGTTCTTTAGCCACAGCAGTTTAGCCCTTTTTTGTACTTTATAGGTTTATTGCTCTTTGTTTTGAATATTTTGAAAGACTTTTAGACAAGCAGCAAGAGATTGAAATAATAAACTAAATAACAATTAAGCCATTGACATCTAATATTATAGATTTTCTTTCCTCTTTAGAACGCTGTATGACAGAAGAGTCCCGTCGTTTGCTAAATGTGTCAATTAACATGTAAGTAAATAATAGAACTAATGACCTTGGCTTGGCTTTCTAATAACACATGTGAAGTCAATCAGCTGTAATTACGCTCAATGTATTGTTTAAGACCATGTCTTCATGATCACGTATTCACGAGCGATTTATGTACTATTTAAAGCACGCGTAGGAGTGTTTTATCAGATAAAAACACGAGGCGAACAATAGATAATGAGCATTTCAGCTGATTATCTATTGTTTTTAAGAGGAGATGTTTTTGTGTTAATAGTTTGGACGTTCTCTGGTTTATAAAAATTTATTGAAACGAGCTTTAGACTGCCAGTCTGCAGTCTTCAACGGGCAAGTGATAATGAATTACATGGAAAAACATTGGTTTACAATTACATACAAAAACAATTAAACAGTTCCGCAGACTTCCGCTCCGCCTACATTATATATATATATATATGATGATATTATATTAACAAGAAAAATAGATTATAAACTGTTCAAGATCTTTTTAAGAGAAACCGGTATTGTTCAGGCAAATGTTTCGAGTTATTGTCAGCATTAGTTGTAATCGCAGTGTGCCAACTTTCGAGGGTTGATCTATGACAGTAGTTTCCTTTGTCGATGATTTTGCTGTTTTCAAAGTCTATTTTATGATTATTTGACCAAGCATGTTTAGCGATGTTAGACCCGTTATAAACCAGAGAAGCGATGTTTAGCGATGTTAGACCCGTTATAAACCGATGTTAGACCCGATGTTATAAACCAGAGAACGTCCAAACTATTAATATGAATAATCCTGGTTACGCTTCTACCATTTTCAAATGTTTTTGTGTGTTACGTAACACGCGCTCAAAACTAATGCGTATAATATAGCACTTGTGGTTATGACTAAATTCAAAATTTCTATTTTTCGACACGTTTCTCAATCGGCAAACGAACTTAAAAAGTATGTTTAGTGCCTTATCTGTAAAATAATGCTAAAATGAAGAGATTTTAGATGACACGCCAAAGAGAAAATGATGTTTGAAGTTCAGTAAGTTTGCTTATATGGCTGCAAATATGCAGGCGTCAATTTTAAAGCATCATTGATAATTGTATTTTAATTGACAATTTTTAACTATTATTTTATGTTTCTCAACCGGCAGATGCATTTAAAAAGGTAGCTAACTGTATAAACTAGAGAATAAGGCTGAAACAAAGTAATTTTGAGAGGAACGCCAAAGAGATTTTAGGTTTTGAACACTTTTCATTGCCTCTTAATGCGTTCGGTACACGTTTGAAACAGGCCTAAAATGGCTTGAAAAACGACCCATCTTATGAGTTCATTGGCGAAGTAATTTTAAAAATCGACGTTGTCTAAGCCGAGAAAATCAGCCTAAGCCTGGTTTCCATATGGTCGTAGCTGTCGCGAACGTGTCGTAACTGTCGTCAATTAAGGTAGTGTTCGCGACCAAATGGAAACATGAAGAAAGTCTCGTCGCGACACGCTGGCAACAGTTCACGGTAGTTAGTACAACAGTGTCGTTGAGATAGGCTCGGGTTCTATCGGGACGACAGTTGCGACAGGCTAAAAACGTGTCGTGACGTTTATGTTTTAATGGCAACAGAAAAACGACAGCGTGACAACAGTTTTGCGACAATCAGGGGGGTCAATGGTCCTCTTTGTGGGGGACCGTGTTTGTCTTTTTAAACTGCCGCCAGCTGCTTGTACGATCCCTGGGTACGAAATTAACTTGCAACATTGTTACAACAGTTACAATTATTGAAACAAGTATAAAAATAATTCACGACAAACACTTCACGACACGTTCACGACAGTTACAACCATATTGAAACAAGTATAAAAATAATTCACGACAAACACTTCACGACACGTTCACGACAGTTACAACCATATGGAAACAAGTATAAAAATCATTCACGACAAACACTTCACGACACGTTCACGACAGTTACAACCATATTGAAACAAGTATAAAAATCATTCACGACAAACACTTCACGACACGTTCACGACAGTTACAACCATATCGAAACAAGCATAAAAATCATTCACGACACGTTCACGACAGTTACAACCATATTGAAACAAGTATAAAAATAATTCACGACAAACACTTCACGACACGTTCACGACAGTTACAACCATATTGAAACAAGTATAAAAATAATAATTCACGACAAACACTTCACGACACGTTCACGACAGTTACAACCATATTGAAACAAGTATAAAAATAATTCACGACAAACACTTCACGACACGTTCACGACAGTTACAACCATATGGAAACAAGTATAAAAATCATTCACGACAAACACTTCACGACACGTTCACGACAGTTACAACCATATTGAAACAAGCATAAAAATCATTCACGACACGTTCACGACAGTTACAACCATATCGAAACAAGCATAAAAATCATTCACGACACGTTCACGACAGTTACAACCATATTGAAACAAGTATAAAAATCATTCACGACAAACACTTCACGACACGTTCACGACAGTTACAACTATATTGAAACAAGCATAAAAATCATTCACGACAAACACTTCACGACACGTTCACGACAGTTACAACCATATTGAAACAAGCATAAAAATCATTCACGACAAACACTTCACGACACGTTCACGACAGTTACAACCATATTGAAACAAGTATAAAAATCATTCACGACAAACACTTCACGACACGTTCACGACAGTTACAACCATATTGAAACAAGCATAAAAATCATTCACGACAAACAGTTCACGACAGTTACAACCATATTGAAACAAGTATAAAAATCATTCACGACACGTTCACGACAGTTACAACCATATGGAAACAAGTATAAAAATCATTCACGACAAACACTTCACGACACGTTCACGACAGTTACAACCATATTGAAACCAGGCTTAAAGTTTATGTAATTAACATGAGTTTTTAGAAATCATCGACACGGGAAGTTATTTCCGAGATGCCCAAAATCCTTCTATGGAAAAACACAGCAATCCATTGTTTATAGTTTGAATGTTTCAACACCATATTCATATAATAAACTCCATATAATATTTTATATTACACATCGTGTATATATATATATTACTCTAATTTACATTAAATTATAAGTTAACCTTTTCAAGGCATGCATAATATTATAAATTGTCTTTATACACCGTATAGAGTGCAAGCGTGTTTGTGTTGCATCTAATGGGCAATGTACGAAATACGCACCCCGTAACACATTTTCAGTCTTAAATAAATACCACAAAAATACATTTAACAGCAGACGTCCATTCGCTAACACCATACAATACCGCCATCCAGATACACTGATCTATATTAGCACTGGATAGAGCATCCTTGACATCAGGGATTTATACAAGCATTTTAGTGCGAGTAGCTTTGTAGTGGTCAGTCTAATATGGCTGCCATTGGTTTCATTTACGCAAGCATATACAACATCCAGTTTTAAATTTGAGTTCAGGATGATAGGCACTGTAAAAGATGTATCGGTAGAGTGTGGTGTTCCAATAGACCAAATTTCTCTTGGTGTATTCTTTGTTTCCCTCAGATTCATTTGTCAATATATTTATCCCATTATTAAGTTCGCAACGTGTTGAACATTATTGCTTTCTGGCCAATGCCAGTCGATACAGGCGACTTTATATCCCCACCATATTTCACGGCGATAAAAATGTCAAATTTTTGCGTCTTATAGTATTTATACGAAGCATAGGTATTGAAGCTTTGCTCTCCAATTCCTTCACGAAACAGACAATCGTCATTAGCCTTTCGCTAGAAGAGAGAAAGAAATCGAAATTAGGAAGGAATCAGGTTGTCCTCTGAGGTTCTAAACTGTTCCCCCGAGAGGTCCAGACAGATTCATCACTTATTGTTATTTAGCTACACACGTAAAAATATCACAACTTGTAACACGATGTGTTCGCAATAGGCTTGTAGCGAGCTGTCGACAAGTTGTAACAATGCTGTTATTCTATCAAGTTGCTGCAAGCTTGCCGCTCACAACTTGTTGACAAATTGTTGAATTGTAACAAGTCTGTTGAGCTTAACAATCTTGCGCAAGTTGTCAACAAGCCGTTGGCAACTTGTCGACAAGCTGGGAACAAGCAGTGCGAACATATCCTGTTGACAAGTTGTTGGAACAGCATTGGTACAAGTCTGCTGCAGATTTTTTACAACTTGTGTGTTTTTACGTGTGTAGTGCTTAAACTAAACGTGATAGGCTGATTTGTGGTGCAGCTGGCAACAAGTGAAATATTAAATGAATTATATGAGTTATATTTACCTGTAATAGAAGCCGTCCCCTCTGATTGATAGCGAGATATCTATTTGTTGCGGTATTTCTAAGTCTCACTATGCCTGTCGCCATCATTTCACCTACAAACATCGCTGAAAAACAAGGAATATCAACGTTTTAATTCATGAAAATCTGCTATGCTTAAAATACCCCTAATTTATCATTATCAGTCGATCCTATTTAAGAAGGGACAGAGAGAATTGGTAGTATTAGAGAGGTGTTTGTATTAGAGAGATGCCATATTAGAGAGGTGTAAGTATTAGAGAGGTGTCTGTATTAGAGAGGTGGTGTCTGTATTAAAGAGATGGTGTCTGTATTAGAGGGGTGTCCGTATTAGAGAAGTGGTGTTTGTATTAGAAAGATGTCCGTATTGGAGAGGTGGTGTCTGTCTTAGATGTCCGTATCAGAGAGATGTCCATATTAGAGAGGTTTTTGTTAGTAAGAGATGCCTTATTAGAGAGGTGTCAGTATTAGAGATGTGTCTGTATTAGAGAGGTGGTGCCTGTATTAAGGAGATGGTGTCTGTATTAGAGAGATGTCCGTATCAGAGAGATGTCGTGTTTAGAGAGATGTCCGAATTAGAGAGATGTCTGTATTAGAGGGTGTCTGTATTAGAGAGGTGTCCGTATAAGAGAGATGGTGTCTGTATTAGAGAGATGTCCGTATTGGAGAGGTGGTGTCTGTATTAGAGAGATGTCCGTATCAGAGAGATCTCGTGTTTAGAGAGATGTCCGTATTAGAGAAGTGTCTGTATTAGAGGGTGTCTGTATTAGAGAGGTGGTGCCTGTATTAGACTTGCTACAAGTTTGTTGAACTCAACAAACTTGTTAACAAGTTGTGAGTGTCAATCTTGACAACGTTGTTACAACTTGTTAACAAGCCTGTTACGAGCACATCTTGACAAGATGTGAGACTTTCACATGTGTAGTTTAGTTTTAGTGTACAGCCAAATAGGGTTTAGTTTTACCTCGTGGTCCACGCGTTCGATTCGTGCCCGGCGTGAGATTTTTATTTGCTTGGAGATAGACATGACCATTTCTCGACCACAGCACATACTTTCGACTGTTCGTTGGTGTGTTCAGTTTCAAAGCATTGTGACTGAAGTTATGCACTTTAAGTATATTCTGTCTGTGAGATGGTGGTTTTCTTTTACGCTTCGATTTCGGTAGTGGGGTTGACATTATAGCTTCTGTTATGATAAGCACCAACAGCAGTGTCTAAGAAAAAAAAAAAGTAGTCTGTATATTATCATAACCGAGGCAAGCTCTGACTACCACTCAATGATTCGGAACTACGGCTGGATGGAGCATGGGCGGATTTGGCCTGATTGGTGGTGCATGATGGAGCCTTACTGCCCACTCTCCTCTGCAGTCTGAAACGCTACTGTCCCAACACTACTATTATTTGAGATAGATGAAAATCCTGTATGCTTAACCTACATATGCGTAAAATATTGACAAGAAGGAGTCCTTTACTACTTTAGAAATTATTAATATAAATTGTTAAGCACAATATTTTCTTCTGCTCCTGGCAATTTAAAATAGCTTCTAATAGCATAAAGGAGAATAAGTACACCAAAATGGTCAAATTACAAATTGGTCATACTATCACTTCGAGTAAAACTGACCATGCAAAGAGTTTTTATTGTGTTAAATTATTAAACTCAAAATACACGCATGCATAATCTTGCAAAGTTTGCAAATTTTGTTTATATTTATATTACGTGCGGAAATTATTACCATTTTCGGCTCAAAAATGGTAACAATTTCCGCACGTAATACAAACATTATGCAAAATATGCAAACTTCGCAAGGCTATATTTTCCATATTTTACAACATTTCGGAATCAAATTTTGCAATTTTACTAATTTTTATTTTTACTATTTAAACTTTAGTTGATGAATTTCACTTAATAAAATACCTGCATATGCATAACTATTATAAATATCTTGTAAACCAGCTCTGAGCTCATTGTTAAAAAGAAAATGACACATTCGTGATTAATTGCTTTTCCTTGTGTTATATGCACTGCTTAATTTAATTTTTGGCGCAGCGGTGAAAATATGCGATTTCGACGAACCTTTTTATCAGACTCGTATGTACTCAATTGTTCTCTATAATGGATGAAATGCTTTTCATTCAACAACCTGAGTTTTTGAAGATTATGAAAAAAATACGTTCGGTTCATACACCGAGTAATTATACAGAGTTTTAGATTGACGTTCTCAGCAAACGTCAAACTGCTAACGAAGTTTTTGATTTTACAACTCTATTATAACAGCTTTTACATCAGTTTTGAAATATGTTAAACAGTTATGAAACTTGTGGTATGTAACAATGATTCAAGAAAACAAATTAACCACTAGTCAAGTATTCACCAAAACAGTAAATTAAGATTTAGCGTTGAACTCTCGAGGCCTTAAGGAAAATATCTATCGTGTTTGATATTTTTCACCTCCGGCGAGGAAAAATCTCAACGTCTGCGGATGTTGTGAGCTAAGTGCTGAGCTGTTTGAATCAATTAGCCAATGAGAAACTATAGTTTCTTCATGTGACTTGGGACAAAATGGAGGAAATGCAAATGATTTTGTCAATTATGTTGTTGAGTAGTTTTCCCAACATGTGCGGTGAAAATACATAGCTGAGCTAGCTGCCACGCGAGGTGGTTAGCTCAGCAAGTTGCTCTCGTGTGCGGCGGGCTTACGACTACAAGCCCTCGTAGCAGTTCAAGCATAAAATTTACACGCCAAACATCAATTTCAGACACCAAATCTTAATTTACAACTTTGGTGAATACGTGACTAGTGGTTAATTTGTTTTCTTAAATCATTGCTAAAGAACACAAGTTTAATAATTGTTTAATATATTTTAAACCTGGTGTAAAAGCTGTTACAATAGAGTTGTAAAATCAAAAACTTCGTTAGCGGGTTTGACGTTTGCCGTAAACGTCAATCTAAAATGCTAAAATTGGATTCCGTTTTTTAGACAGTACAGTATAAGTGAAACACAAACAATGCAATAGTTCAATTTGTCCTCAGCGCAGAACGCGCAGTCTTGGATGTGCAGTGGTAACTCCGATTTCGCCTGTCCGCTATTCGGCATTTTAGTTATATAGCTTCGGTTAAGGCTAGCTTAACCAAGTTTGTAGCTTTCGAATTCAAATGACACACGCTCTACCTTGAATCATAACATATATCTGGAAGAATTTTACTGATATGCATATAATGCGAATAGTTTACAGTCGACACTATACGACTTATTTAACATTTTTGCATGCAATATTAACTATATTGAAACATACTGGAAACGGTTTGAACATGTCCATTGTCCATTCATCCTCGACTTGAATATCTTGATCTTTTCTACATGACTTGGATGTGGAATTAAACACTATAGCAACTTGCGTTGGGGTTTTTTAAACTTTCAGTCAAAATAATGTAACAAGAGAGTGCAAATATAAATTTGACCACGAATACTTAAAACAATTAAAATACTCATTAAAAATTCATAAGCCTTGTGGCAAATCATGTCAGCCATAACATGTCACGTGGAGTGACTTTATATCTGATAAAACTCATCTTCATTAGCCGATTATACAATTGTTCATCCTAATTAGTATGATTATTTTATTGTTCATCCTAATTAATAGGGAGTTTACGCATGTAAGGCAGCGGCTATCAATATTAATCATATAGACGGCTATCAATATTAATCCTATAGCACAAAAGAAATGAACAATTAAAAGTATAGCTCGACGGCAAAATGCATATTTTCACGTCTTCTATAAGGCCCGTTTGATACGCCGTACTTTACATGTGCCGAATATATTATTAAAAACAATAGGTACAAGAAAATATTTCCATACAATCATTTATTTCAAACACTTTGTTTTATAGCCGTCATCCTTGACGCCGCCGCCGTCTTACATGCGTAGACTCCGATCCCTAGTATTCTTTTGTAGTCGTATTTTAAGCTATTCAAAATAGTACATACTGTTTTTATTTACCATGATTTTGGTCACTAAAATATAACTCATTTGTTTCTCTATCGCTGTGTACTATGTCTATGCAGGCATATACTAGAAAATAAATTATCGCTGTACTGAGTTAAGCATGGTGAGATCATATAGCAGATGTTCTTGAATGTGGGCTACCCACTGGGGCTACCGTAAAGTGATCTGATGTTGAACAGAACTCACTCCTGAGTTAAGCATGGTTAGATCATACAGCTATAGAGGTAGTACATGTTCTTGAATCTTGAATGTGGGCTACCATAACGTGATCTGATGTTGTACAGAACTTACTCCTGAGTTAAGCATGGTTAGATCATGTAGAGGTAGTACATGTTCATGAATGTGGGCTACCATAAAGTGATCTGATGTTGTACAGAACTTACTCCTGAGTTAAACATGGTTAGATCATGTAGAGGTAGTACATGTTCTTGAATGTGGGCTACCATAAAGTGATCTGATGTTGACTCAGTGGCGTAGCTAGACCCGCACATTGTAGGGGGTCCTATTTAGTAATGCTTAATTTTAGAAGTCTGGAATGGCCATTTCCTGCGAATTTACGGCGAAATACTCCAAAGGGAACATCAAAAAATTGTGTGATTAACGGAAAATTTTTTATACTTTTTTAGAAAAAAAATTTGAAATCGTATTTTTATCATTTTTCGATATATGTTTTTCAACTTAAATAGTTATAGTAACGTAAGAAGAAAATATCATTTATACCAATAATGTATTAATAATTGCATTGTACATGGGAAAATAAAAAAAAAAGTCTGTAATATGATCTTTCACTTGGTCAACAATGGCGTTAGCTCAACAATTGTTGTTGTGTACTGTTGAATACGGCGTACACTATAACGCTTCGGCTCTCTGGGTGTAACTCACTAACTTCAGTACCCTATGGCTGTGGTATTAAAATTACCGTAGCGTTCACTGTAATATAGTGTTTTAAAATAATTCATAAACCTTGTGGCAAATCATGCCAGCCATAATATGTCACGTGGAGTGACTTTTGTTTATCCTAATTAGTATTCTTATATAAAGAATACTAATGAGACGGCATCTTTTGTAGTCGTATTTTAAGCTATTCAAAACACTCGTCGTGTTTTATCAGATATTTTTGAAATGCTCGGCTGCGCCTCGCGTTTTATATCTGATAAAACACACCTATTCGTGTTTTAAATAGTACATAAGCGCTCGTGTTTCAATGCATAAAGCACTGAGCAGGTGAACGGGCAGTAAATAATACATTCATACTTTATATCAATACGACAGGCTTCACAACTGATATTTGTATTCCCGGGTAATTCCTCATGATTATACTGTATTTAATATAAAAATACTCAATCGAGTCTGTTCATATGGATTTTGTCAGCTAAAATATCTTAGCCGAAGCCAGAAATTATATCCAAATCACAAGGGGCTTCCACAATCAATGGTTGATTTTCATATTCATAACTTGAGTAATCCCGACAGAATTAGTAAAACGTTGATCAAGTCCTGCTATTTGAAAATGGCAGGACTGAATCACGGAGTCGCCGAGTGTAAATCAAAATATTGCCCGGAAATGAGCTCTTGTAGAGTTGCAGTTGCTAGGTAACAGACACGGCAAGCTGGAAAATTGCGTAAATGTAATAGAATGCGGACGTTTTAAAAAAAATAACGAAAAAGACCAGAAAATGAGACAAAATAACAATATGATAATGATCAATTTTTAAAGCTGCAAGAGGACCGCTAGCTACGCCACTGCATGGATGTTGTACAGAACTCTCTCTTAAGTTAAGCATGGTTAGATCATACAGAGAGTAGTACATGTTCTTGAATGTGGGCTACCTTAATGTGATCTGATGTTGTACAGAACTCATTGCTTAACTGTTAAGCATGGTTAGATCGTACAGAGGTAGTACATGTTCTTGAATGTGGGCTACATCTTAATGTGATCTGATGTTGTACAGAACTCACTGCTGAATTAAGCATGGTTAGATCATGCAGAGAGTAGTACATGTTCTTGAATGTGGGCTACCTTAATGTGATCTGATGTTGTACAGAACTCACTGCTGAGTTAAGCATAGTTAGATCATACAGAGAGTAGTACATGTTCTTGAATGTGGGCTACCTTAATGTGATCTGATGTTGTACAGAACTCACTGCTGAGTTAAGCATGGTTAGATCATACAGAGATTAGTACATGTTCTTGAATGTGGGCTACC